TTTTTTTGCATTTCCGCTGACTACATTCACGTATCATTGTTATATTAGCGCTTCCGGGTTCGTCACACTATTTTCAACAGTCTTTATGCAATTACGTTGGCACACATTTGCTCTTGTATATTACTACTGCTGGCTTCTTCACTTTACATTGTTTTCAGCAATCTTTGTACATTCACGTCGACGTATAGTGGTTGTGTTACCCAATTCTTGACGTCTAATAATTTCGATAATCTTTGTTTCATTGGCTGTTTATGTACCGTTATGATTTATATGTTGCCGCCACAGGAAGTCTGTTTCTCGACTCATGCTGGAGCTGTCACGTCTTTTTGTGGGCAAGCTGTGTTGTCAGGAAGGAGTAGGTCTTTTATTACATAAATTGCAGCTATTTAAAAAATTGCATAGAAACAGCAGACGTGTTTAAATGGGGGTATAGTGTTATACCGCGACTCGCGTTGTGATAGTTTCTGGCTAAAGAAGTTCCACTCAGAGGCTCTACGTTTGAAACACTTTCTTAGCAACAGAGGTAAAGGCGGAATAGGATGTTTCGGTTCATCAAGTCATATGTGAAAGCGCAGTCGGGCTTGTTTGTTTTTTGCTGGTTACTTGTTAAATTTCTTTATTAAATGCCATTTGCTGATCCTTGTTAAATAATTTCTTGCTGTTAACTGCCATTTTCTAATCTTGAGCAATTGGTTTGTAAAAAATGTATTCTTTTGTACATATAAAATTGTTTACCTCCTTATGCATTTCGGGTTTATGGCGGTGCATTCCACCCATTTGTTTGTACATAACGTGAATGATGTCTCAGTGCTTATATTTCATAAGTAGAGTGGGTCGTGAAACTCTCAAATGGATTTCTTAGCGCAGTTTTTATCTGTGATTTTGTTCAAAAAAGTGTATGATTTAACCGCCTATTCGGGGAGAGGTAATACATCCGAGTAATGCGTTTCCAAGTCAATTTATGTTATTTCTCGCCTAAGTAATCATTCTTCCATAAATTTGGGAGGTGGAGATCTGCATTTTGGAAAATCAGCTCCCCGAGGTGTATTGGTTTGGCCGCCCAAACACTTTTCTAACAAGCAGCGAGCAGTTCTGAAACAGTCGCAGTCTTTTTTTCTAAAGCGGAACGAGAGTAAATTGGCTTTCGCGAGTGCTTATGGCTGTTTTCCGATGAGAACGAACCGATTCTTTGAGAACGGTGTCTCCTGGAATCCGACAACTTCCTGTTTTCAGGCGGTAGGGGCGTTCAGCAAAGTAAAAGGATTGCATTTTGAAAATTGTCTGTATTTTCATTATCTGTTTGTTGTTCAGGCAGCCTTATTTTGCATTAGGAGGGTGGAGGGGGAGATAAGGCACAAGTTTTTTTAGGAGACTTTAGGCCTTGTCAAAGCTTCATTTTTATAGAAATACCTATTGGGAAAGAGAAGAGGCGACGCGGAAGGCACGTGGCTTTGTCGAGTACGCGAGGGAATGGATAGTTTGCTTTTAATATATGCTTTATTTTCAGACAATGAACGAGACACAGACAGTGAGGCAACATGGTCCGAAGCCTGCTGGCAGGTAATTGCTTGCGCTTGCATCGCTGCACAGAAACTGCATTTTTGCAAAAAATTTCATTTGTTGCGCCGCGTGCTTGCAGCATAAATTGAGCCCGCACAGACTCGCACAGACGGATAAGAATTTATAATTTTATAACCTTTTCCTTTCTTCCATTTCTTCTCTTTCCGTTTTCTATTTCTTCTCTTTCTTGTCTTTGTTTTTGTCTTAAAAATTTATATACTACACTAAGCCATCTAAATTATTTTGTTATCACAGTCGTCCTACTGACGAAGCCTAATTGTGGTAACGGAAAGAAATGTATACGACTTAATGGACCGAAACATTTCTTACCTGTTGCATATATTTCCATACTCCATTTCCCTTTTTCACTTCTTTTTTTTCGTTTTTCTTCCTTTCATTTTTTCTATTTCATCATTTTCTCCTTATCCTTTAATGATTTGATGGACCGAAACATTCTTGTTCATCCAATTTTTTAATATAACTTTATACATATTTGTATATAATTATGGTTTATGCATGCATATATATATATGTGCATCATAATTAGCACCTCTGTTATTGTCTCTGCTTACCCAGGTGGGCCCTAACTATAGCTTTTGCGTACGAAACTGCAGCCTTGTTCAGGCCTGTATTGCAATACAGTTCATTCGTTGTACATTATGTTTACGCCGAATGTGATTGTTCTGACAGGTTATACGTGAAGGCGGTGTTTGCTGGATACAAACGTTCGCAGCGCAACCAACACGAGCACACGGCGCTCCTCAAACTGGACGGCGTCTATAACAAGAAGGATGCTCAGTGGTATGTGTATTCTTTGTTTTTTAGCTAATTTAGTTCGTCAGTAGCTGCTATTAATACGTATTTTGGTTCTTCAGCCCTCAGCTGTCTGTGTTTTCAGTTGCTTGGACCAGTGCTGCATCTCTGTTGCTGGTCTTGATTTTCGTTCTTTTGTCCTCTCAAGATTGTCAGCTCAGCGTTCTCCTGGCAAACTTTTTTTGCCTATTTGTTAGCCAGAGAAAGCCAGAACGAAGGGACTGCGCACGCTTTGGGAGGAGACGAGAAGCGATATTTTCACTGATTGCTATTGTGCGTTTCGTTTAAGGTACGTTGGCAAAAGAGCCGTATATGTGTATAAGGCACATAGTTCAAGCAAGGTCCCCGGGAAAACGCCGAGTCGTGCACGCGCCATTTGGGGAAGAATAACACGAGCGCACGGCAAC